TCTGTTCGGAAATTGATTCTCAAAGGCAGAGGTGGGTATCAAGTCGATCGACAGGTGAACCGCCAAAACATTTTGGGGTGACCGTCTTTATTAAAAGAAACATATCTTCTGTCTAATTATCAAAATGCGTTAACTCCTTCTGGGGTGCTAATTTGATTTTGCAGTGCTCCGGGCCAAGTTGTTGTTTATGCTCGCCAAGGTGGGCGACAGCATTACAATAAGATTACTTTGATATTTTTATCGTGTGGTTATGTGGTTGCCATGGGGATAACGTATATTACAGTCAACTTTTATCGGTTTTTTTCCACGATAACCCTATTAACCCTATATTATATGAATACTATTAGATATAATAATTATTATTATGTAAAAATTATAAGAATATTATCATATATCATAATTACTATTAAATTATATTATATGATAATAATAATACATTACATAATATTATTATATATAATTTTTATTATACTATACTGATATTCATTATGGATTGATATTGGTTAGTTTTAATCTATTCCTATATTCTTCATTTGAAATATATTTCCAAACAGTTCTTTACAATTATTTTTCTGACGATTTGTTACCGCTAGGCCACCATCTTGAATTCCATGTAACTCGACAACAATTGCTGCTTAACGCGTAGCACTCCTATATCAAATTTAGTTACTTTGTGGAGTTACGCACTCTGATAATTAGGCCAATGATATACTGAATACCATTCGTGCATACTAAAAGAAACATATTTAAGAAACACCGATGACAACTAGACTGGAATATCTACTTTTCACAATCGAAAAGACTGCGTTTACTTAAGCAAAGGATTCGATAAACGTGTAAATGACACATGAACCTCCACTGGAAGCGCACGATGATGCTTGACGCGTTCTCTGTCGCTATTGAAGGGAAAAACTCAACGCGATGCCAGCCAGAGAAATGAATTTTCTCAACACGCCGACAGAAGATGATAATAAACGCGGATGATCAACTCTTCCCGCAATAGCAAGGGATTGGTTACTGAGACAACATACGTCAGTTACAGATTCATCGGGCAACGTATGTCCGCTGCTCGCTGCATTGAATACGTTCACAATCCAAGTAGTCTGTTATCGCTTATAATTGTTCAGACATTGAACTAGACAACTCTGTGCTACTTGAGTTTTTATAGTAAAAAAAAATTGTAATCAATCATATTTTAAAAGAAAGGTTCAATGTCGAAAGTAAGTGTTAAAGGGAAAAAACTTAAAATTTTACAACAGAATGCAGTTTTTCTTTACAGTGGTGAATGCAAAATATTTGTGCCATATGTGCCATTCAAGTATGGTACATCAAAAAAAAAAAAAAAAAAAAGGAAACGTTGAAAGGCATTTTACCAACACCACTTGGTGGATGGACCGCACCACCTTGAAAAAATTAGAAATATTCCGTACACTGGAAAAGTTTTCCCACCCCTACTCTAAGGGCTTACCAGGCACATTTATAGAAATATCTTTGTTTTTGAACTATTAGACTTAGACTCGAAATTTGGCAAGAATGTTTTTTTTTTAGTAGATCCACTAAAATTAGGTTTTTGGGGTAATCCTCGTTGGAGGAGCATAACACATAATTCTACAATATTAGAAATTCATGTCCTGTTCTTTTTAAGTCAAAATCTGTGGGTTATAAGAAATTTTTTGAATACAATCGAATGATTAAAAGCTGTTAGAACTCTTAAATTGCAAATTTTTCAATTTAAAAAAACATGTTATTTCTGAGCGTTTTAGTACCAAAATTGTGCTTATGCTGTGAAAACTTCCGAAGTTATTGAGAAATAAGTAGTGAAACTTAAACGAAAACCCTATCTCTTTCTTATCTTTAACTTCATTTTTCGTAAGACAAAGAAATTTTAGCTTACGCGCAGGATTTCTCTGAAACTATTTATGATATCAATTTGCAGTTTTATACATGTGTTCAAAATAAGCCTTTTCATAACTTATACATCAATTAAAAAAAATTAATAGAATTTTTTATTTGAATTTGAATTTTTTTTTAATTTTAAAATTTTCGTAATAATTGTATTTAAAAAATATTCTTTTTTCTCTAAATTTCTTAAAAGTTACTATAACTTCAAAAGGGAACATTTTTATACCAAGTAAAATTAGTTTTGTAAATTTTGATCAATTTTTTACTTCAGAATCCTAAGCGGTGTAAAATACTGATTTTCCTATTTTTGAAAAATTGCCCTATTTTTATTTCTTTATAACTTTTAAAATATTTCCTCAAATTCTCTGAAAATTTGAGAAATAATGTAAATATATGATTATCATGTGGTCATAATTTCAAATTGTTTCGTTTTATTGCTAAGTTACATTAGTTTGAAAAAGGATGTTTTTTTTTCGAGTGCACGGATATCTGTTAAGGGTCCTGAGAGGTCTTAATGCTAGGACTTATGTATCAAGAATTGTCATAAATTTAAACAATATATTCATACAACACCATGAAATACCCATCGAAGTGGTTGGGTAACGGCTAGTTTAGTATAAAGAGGTCAGTGTGTTTGAATATTTTTCTCTGTTTTAATTTCTTTCTTTTATCCAATACATTCCGCACTTGTATAATACGTCGATTAGAATTCGAATTAATATAAAAAATAGTAGCGAATAATTGCATTAATTGGAATTTCTTTTAATTCGTTAACAGTCGATTTTGACTATCATAAATTAGAATTTCTAAGACAATAAGTTTTCTGAATTGAAACTTAAGGTATCCGACAACTTGCGACAACTTTTTTTAAAAAAAATGGAGATATGGAGTTTTTGTGGTTTTTAGATTTATTTAGTACATTTTAAGAAAAAAAGGCTAAAATTAAGAGAAGAGAAAAATGAATTATTACTACTAAAATGTGGGAAAGAATGGGTAAGAATTGACAAAAAATTATATAAACGGCTACCCGCTCTGTACAAATAGTAAATGAACAAATTCTCAATTTTGATGTATTGCTTTACTATTCCTTTTTGAAATAACCTTCAGGATAAGAGATATTTTAATTTTTACAAAAACTGCAGCACTTTATCCTAGCTATTATACGAAATTGCTTTAAAAAAACAGTGATTATATTCACATAAAGAACTGTAAATTTTATAATAAAAAAGTGATTGATAAATCTGAAAGTCAAAATACTTCTACTGTTATACTGAACATACACACAAAATTTAAGCAAATTATTTTAAAAAAATTTTTGAGCAATCGCTCTCCCCGTTTGAACTTTTTGAAAAAACTCATTTCGAGTAAAACGCATTTTAAAGTTTGACATCTTATGTAAAGTTATGGCATCTGCTTTTACTAAAACACTTGTGAATGTAAAATAAAAAAACTTGATATTTTTATGAAGCTAATAAGATGGCATATGAAATAAAATTATAAAAAAAAAATTGTCAATTTTTAAAAACAAAAATCATAATTTTAGGGTACTTGGATAGCTTAACTGAACAGCCTTTCAAAATTCTTTTTATATCCTTTTCACACACACACACAATCACTGCATTCTTTAAAACTTACAATCTAGTTCAGTGATCATAATGAATTATTTGAATCTCATTAAAAAAAACTCAGATTTATGAACTAATTCGTCAGTTTAAGTTTATTTTAGATCTTTTCCTTTCTTTTCTCATCAACGTTGCTGGATTTAAAATCGTGTTACACATTCTTCTATTTAAAAAAATATATATTTGAATTTCTGAATTAGAAATCGGGGAAGCAACTTTTTACAAAACCTATTCCACTGCGTTATGTTCTTTGAAACGATAACCTTTTATTATTTTTATAACTTGCTACGAAACCCAAAACGCATGATTACGTATGAAAAATGTGATGTGCAAAATATCTGTTGAGTTTGAATACGATAAATCACTCAACAGTAAAGAACCTAATTTCGCAGTGAACTCAATTTCAAATGTTTTCTTACGCTTTTCATTTTCAGATTGTTTTATACTCTACGTTGAATTATCTTTTTCTTAGTAAGTATCATCTTTAATGCACTTCTAAAATGTTTACTGATTGCTATGAAAAGATATATGAAGACGTTTGAATATTGAACTGTTGCTTCTATGATAAAGTATCGTATTTCGCAACGCATATATCACTCAACAGTAAAGAACCTAATTTCGCAGTGAACTCAATTTCAAACGTCTTCATATATCTTTTCATAGCAATCAGTAAACATTTTAGAAGTGCATTAAAGATGATACTTACTAAGAAAAAGATAATTCAACGTAGAGTATAAAACAATCTGAAAATGAAAAGCGTAAGAAAACATTTGAAATTGAGTTCACTGCGAAATTAGGTTCTTTACTGATTGCTATGAAAAGATATATGAAGACGTTTGAATATTGAACTGTTGCTTCTATGATAAAGTATCGTATTTCGCAACGCATATATCACTCAACAGTAAAGAACCTAATTTCGCAGTGAACTCAATTTCAAATGTTTTCTTACGCTTTTCATTTTCAGATTGTTTTATACTCTACGTTGAATTATCTTTTTCTTAGTAAGTATCATCTTTAATGCACTTCTAAAATGTTTACTGATTGCTATGAAAAGATATATGAAGACGTTTGAATATTGAACTGTTGCTTCTATGATAAAGTATCGTATTTCGCAACGAAGAAGAAAAAACCCTTTATGAAGCTAATATGTAATCTCAAAGATTTACAGATTCTCCTGAAAACATAATTTGATTTTAAACAAGTAATATAAAAAAAATTTAGTCAATTCCCTACTTAGATCAACAAAATTTTTTTTTATTTTAGTTACTTTTTATAAAATTACGATTAAAACAAATATGTATATACATATTATAAAATCACAATATTAAGTTACAAAATAGAAGGCGATTTTCCATTTTCCTTTCTATATTTGGTTGGACTATTTTTTTTGTATGTTACTATTTATTCATTAATTAAACTTAATTATTCTAATAAAGTAGTATAGTAAGAAAGAAATCACATTCCCAGAAATTAGGCCATTCCAGGTAGGATTCGAACGCACGACCTTTGGAATAAAAGTCCAATGCGTTATCCATTACGCTACTGGGACACAACGAACGATTTTCCTTTTTATATATGCTTTTGGACTATTATTTTTGTTTTTTACTATTTATTCATTACTTAAATTTAATTAATGAATTAATATTTGAAAAAAAACTATTAACATCAAATAACATCCACTACAAGTTTAAAAAATTGTATTTGATCTTGAGTGGATGAATAAAAATTATTTTATCAACGATCGAAAATTTGAACGATATATACACTCATAGACAAAAAGATTAGCGCACCAAGAAGGAGTGTCGTCAAAATGAAACGATGACTACTTTGATATAAGTAAATGGTTAGAAAATCAAAGAAAAAGGATAATTTATTTCAGAAAAAAAAGCAAAAGAACGGATTTAATACCCTGTTGAACCCCTCTAGCACGAATGCTCGGTGCGATACGATCAAGCATTAAGGCACACAGATTCTGTATGATGTCTTGAGACATTTTGTTCCATATTTGCTGTAGCCGTACCTCTAGTTCGTTATATAGTGCTCAAGGGGTTAAATTCTCGATACAATACAAATGTAAATTTGAATGACACTCTACTTCGAGATACATTTCTAAAGGATTCTCACGGCCAAAAAAAAAAATATTGACGAAATGTTAACGTTTGAAGCATGAAATATACTTTTTTCCCGTTTACTCGTATTAATTTTACGCTTATTATCTTTTTTATTTTTCGAAAAGAGCATATTTTTATCAATAAAAATATTTATTTCTACTTTTTCAACAAAAACAATAATAGTCTTTATTTTTTAAAAAAAATATTTAAAAATTTCCTTTTGTGTGTTATATTTAAAAAGCAAGGTCAGCACATAGCTCAACATTGTAATTATTAACACAAGTTACCCACTCTTTACTTTTTTACCTTTGCTATCCCTTTTAGCACAACACACAGTGCAGTATCTTGTCAACTTAGAAAATGACGTTCCGTTACGTGAAATTTCAAAAGATTTTGGTCACAACCTGATTTTTTCATATATATTTCTATCGGTCTGATAACTTTGTATAAGTTTTTCCATCCTCATTTGCATCTGAAATCTGAATTTTTTTCTATCACGTTTTTTTTTTTATTTATTTATTTTTACACAAAACATATGCGTTTCAAATGATGTTTTAAAAATGAAAGAGTTCTTTAATAATATTTATGTAAATTTATTATAAATTTTATCTAAATTTACGAAATTACATGACGACGGATTGCAATCAGTCTCTCGAGTGCAGACGACGTACGCTTATATTTGAGTATGAAAATTACTGCGGCATGAAATACGACTTCGCCCGAATTATCTCGATTGTGTACAACAGGGCTCAGAAACCTCTTAGCAATGGCGTGTGAAACCAAATTATTAAAATGATTTACCGATCCCCACAGTAGGACATTTTTGAAACCATTCGATTCCCGTGATAAAGCATGCAGAGTTAGAGAATAGAGGTTCAATAATTTAGATTTACAGTTTTTTCAATTATATATTAATTTTGTATCATTTAAAGATATTTATTAGCGAAAATATAACTATTTCTTCAACAAAAATAAGAAAAATATTTAAAACTGCACAAATATTATGTATTTTTAAACATATTTATAAATAAGAAATAGACAACGTAAAAATATAAGTATTTCCTATCATTACAGTTAAATAAAAAGATAAATAAAAACATTGATGCGAACCTAGTGCTTGCACCGCTCTACTTCATATCGCAAAATAGGGGTATAATGTGTGACTCAATTTAACACGATTTTGAGCATTCAGTTGTCAAATGATTTTTTGCGCACTAGAAATATTTTTCATACGAGGAAAGATTTACGTTGATATGTAGAACCAAAAGCGGAGAGCAGCGTACATATGAAATTTTCTTTCTTCAAATAACTCAATCTTTCCAGCAATGGCATTTAATAATTTCCAAAATAGCTGTGTAAATTTATCTTAAGATGTTTCAGATGTTTTCGTAATTACGTAACTGTCTATAATTCAGCAGATGTTTGTCCAATAAGATCCATTATAAATTTATCAACTTCGAAACACACTCAAACATTGTCAAATTTATTGAGTAGCGCAGAGTGCCACTGTGAGAATTCTACCGCGTGCCATAGGTTGCCGACCCCTGGTGTACAGTTCGGCCAGGTGACCGCGATCGAATGAACTCGGTCGTGCACGTTAAGAGGTTAGGTTAAAATTTGTCCCGATTACTGCCATAACTATTTTATTTTTGCTGGAAAGTTCTGCCTCTTTTATTGGTTAAAGAGGGAAGTTTGGAGCAGTTAGGGACTTTGACACGCACGGTTAGCAACCTCCGGGCCTCTCTAGCTAAAGGAAAAGCTTGGGTAAGAAAAACAATCCTAAAATGTTAAGGGGTCGCAAGAAAGGCCTCTAGGAATTTTGATACATGGCCCACTCAGAACTAGCTACGCCTGTACCACGCACACTTATGACCGTTAAATAAGTATTTTAAAAACTACGAGAGCAAACAAAATGTAAGATAATAAAAACTGTTATATAGTGAAAATCGCTTAATATGAAGCTGAGGGAACTGAAATATTTTTTCGTGTTAAAGAATATTGCAAAAAAGAAACGTATTCAACAAAATTAAGTTTATTAGAGAACATTTTGTTTACCTAGATAAGTATTTGCGCCTGTATTTGATAAAAATCAATGAAACAAAAATATTCACAAGAACTTACTGAAATTTAATACAAAATGTTCACGTTTTTTGAAAAATAAAACATTTATTGAGTTTTTGAAAAATATAATCTGATATTTTTTTTCATTATCTTTTTTAGCATTAAATTGTCAGCAGATTGCTCAATTTCTTCCATTTTGTTAATGGTACCATTGGAATATGCTTCTAAATAACTGCGCATACTTTTCATGTTGTTCCTCAATCTCAATTCGAATGACGCGGGAACAGGAGCTGCATTATTCATTTCATTTTTTTCCATCGAAACCTGCATCATTGATATTTTCTGAGCTTTGAATAAACTCCAAAATGTCTTTGTCTGCATAATTAGGGCTGTGTGTACACACATTATTATTATCTGCTGTAACGAATTCTTTCGATGATACAGTGGGACAGTCCGCTAATA